TCTTCTCTCTGCGTCATTCTGTATAACGATAATCGGATATTAGTCCGAACACTAGCAAATATAACTGAGACAGACATAACTTTTTCTTTTTTTTACATTGTAATCCCAGTACATGTACGGAGATATGCGTTAAACTTTGCAAAACTTAGTCGCCCTTAACAAAATATTCATATTCCTCAAACTAAAGAAAATAAGCAGCTTATTTCTAGATAAAACTCTCAAATAATTTTTTCTAATGCCCGACATTATGCCGAAAGCTTTTCTTCTAACACTGTTTTGTACAAATTCTGTGAAGCACAAATATTCACACAGAATAGAATTCGACTTGTCCTCAAGGAAGACCGTTATTTAAGTAACGAACTATTTTCATATATATAGAACAAGCACCTATGTTACTGAGAAACTTGTATTTGATAAAATATAGATATTTCATGCCTCAAGCCTTACTTAAGAATCAGAAAGCAAGTTTTAAAGGATTATTCCGGAGAAGGGAGGGTATAATAGAAAACAGAAATTTGTGAGTTCAATATGTATAAAGCTTTCAGCTAGTAGTTAACTTATTCATAAAAAAAATCCGTTACATTTCCGGAAGAAATCTAATAAAAAAAAAAGAGTAAAATAGAAAAGGTAGGAGCAAATAGGAAACTAATAGTGTTCAGAAATAAGTTTCGGAAAATGTGTTTACCTAATACTCGTCTAAGTTTTTTTATTTCTTCATATTCTTTTGTCTGATCTGTAATTTTGTGTTCCTCATGCTTAAAAGCAAAAATTTCGATGCGTTCACTTTTACTGAAACGACGCAGGATGTTTTTAAAGAACTACATGTCAGAATAATCAATACCAAAATGTTTTCTTTTTGGAATGTTTCGGTTGGTCACAGTTTGGAGTATATGTTAACATTATTTAGTCTGAAAAAACAGCTCACATATACCCGTTATTTTTAGTACACACCCCCCCTTTCCTCTCTGCTAAAATTGCAAATGTTCTATAAATTGTTGTAAATTCTTTAAAATCTAAGTACTTTGTTTTTGAAATGACATTTCTAAATCATTTATTTTGATTATTCATTTTCATCGTTATTTGGTACTTAAATACACGTGTGTATCCGTAGATTTACCGCTGTTCCACCGAGGGGCTACTTGAAACGACAAAATAAAACTAACCTGTAATGGTTTAAAATGAACACGCCGCTACAATCAGGATTCAACAACAAAAAAACAAACAATTTATTCAACAATAACAACACTTAGAAATATATTCAACACTTACCAAAACACAATTAGTAAACACGTGCCTGGCCAGGACTTCACAGTAATATTAATAAACAATGTATCAAAAATATCAATATTATTTCAAATAATGCAAAAAGAACCAGAAATAAAAAAAACCTAATTAGAAAAAATACAGCAAACCCAATATTCCACAAATACCCTTCAATATTAATAACGATATCGAGTGATAAACAGTAATAATTCACTAACGGTCTTGTGGTATTCATTCACCGAGTAGGTCACGAGAGTACAACCTAATGTTATCATATATTTACATAATTTTCTGCTACATTAATAGTATCTGTACGTCATCGCTAGGAAAGCGGTATTTACTCAAAATATAAATGATGAGCTAGAAGGTGAATTAGCGTTTTAATGTAACTAAAAATTCATAGATAAACTAAACGATAGAAATAAATAATAAATGAACAATAAACTCAACCATAATCATAAAAAAATATAATTTGCTATCTCACAAACCATTGAGCTTCCCTCTGATTATAATGATTGTAAGTGGGATTCAGTTTCTTCCAGCATAAATCCACATCATCTGCTCTAAATAAAGTGGTTCTCCACACCATATGTTTATAATCACTTTTTGTATTGAATTGGTTAAACAAAGCACTGCCCGCTTGACTATCTAATTAAAGCGTGTTCGAAAGAAACGGGATTTTATTTTCAGTAGGTTAGATAGTATTAAATTGTAGCCAATAAATCATTGTATTAATAGGTCAATGTCCGTCCGCAGCTAACAGTATCATTTGTCATGTGTTTCCATGACAGAGACGTACAACACAATTTCTTTCTGTATATTCTACGTTAGTACTATCTACTTTTATTTGATCTATGACATCGTATTACACTTCATCGAACCAGCAGTAATTTATCTCTCATGTATATATGTATCTAAAGGACCCTATGATGACATCATTAATATTGCCCCTTAAGCAATGTAGCAATAGTATATATTAACCTTCTGTTGGACTTCTTCGTCCTATCGAAGGTGCGAATTAACTAAATGTTACTTCTTTATAAATGTAGTCATACAGTATTGATATTTACTTCTATATTCTCGTCTAGTTTACGAGTTCACAAAAATTGCTAAAACTGGCATCAAAACGTAATTGTTTTACAAATAGCTAAAGCAGTTAAAAAAAAAAGATTGTACTGATCAAACTCATACTATAGGTGATTTAAATAACCAAGAAATTTTGAGGAGATAGATTAGAGGGACGGCAGGTAGTCAACACCACCCACCATCAACTGTTGGGCTATTCTTGTCTGAAGGAATAGTTAGATTTGTTCATCACTCTTATAGACAAACAGCCTAAAGTACGGAGTGCATTTTCTCACCAACTAGACTTGCCTTTATCATGTAGGATTCCACGTAGGACTCTGTATAAGGATAGGTTAGCACATATGACCCTCGTGGAATTTTGCGCGAAATTCAAACAAAGAAACATAATACTACCCAAGAACTCGTATTAAATTGACTAAATAATACCTTTCTATAGCAGATTAAATCGAAATTCGGTTTATATTCACATGTAAGTTATATATATTAGAATGAAAGAACAGGTTTACACTATATATATATATATATATATATCGGATTGCAGCATACAGTCGCATGAAATTGAACCTATTTTTTATATTTTTTTCTATAGAATATTCAGTGCCTACGAATTATAACTACTTAAGTACGCTACGTGATAGAC